AGTCTGAAGAAACACTAAGGCATCCAGTCCTGTGTCACTGAGGTACTGCTGCACCGTGATGCCCCTTGGCCACAATCAGGCCAGGCTGTGGCCTTCTCTCCTAGCCCTTTGTCCCATGGCAGGACCCACCAAGGGTGAGTAACAGCAGTTGCTGTGCCTTGAGGCTACTTTTGGGACTTGGGGTAACCAAAAAATAGCTTCTTCCCCCTCTAAATTGTGAAACGAGTGAAACAGACTTCAATGTCTTGACACAACATAAGCTCATGTGAATAAAGAAACAACATGAAGTATATGTTCAAGTCTTGGGGGGCAAGTACACAGGTTTTGATGTGATGTAAGGAAGTCTGAAGAAACACTAAGGCATCCATAGCAAGTGACTGCTGACACAGAAAATATCCTTGGAAGATGCAAGAGTGAGCCACTCCCACCCAGTACCTCTGACAAATCCAGTGTTACTGTTGCCCAACTGCTATCAGCTGACTTTTTCTCAGAAAGATATACTGGAACAGACTAGACAAGATCATATTCTGTGACTTCTCCCAGGGAAACATGAGCAAAATTATATTCACCCCAGATAGGTCACAAAGAACAGTCGAAATAAATAATTCCAGCCAAGTCCAGCTTGATGAACCAATACATCTATTGGGGTGACTTACAGAAGCATTGGTGAGGTCTTACTTATAGCAGCATGAGTGAGTCCAAGGCAGCCGTATCACACAAAACCCACTCCAGCATGAGTGATGATTCTTGAAAGCTGCACCCTGGAGCTTCAAGTTCAACTTGCAGGAGACTCCACAGGAAGTACCCTCATTCCCATCGCCCATCACCTTCCCCTCCCGCTCCCTACTCTCCAGTAATTACTTAAACCCAAATTTGGGGAGGTGTCTTAGAGATCTTACAGCTTTCTGAGCGGGTAAATTTCATGAACGTCCTGATCCTTGTTAAGTTTAGTTAGCTTCTGGGGTTTTAGGGCCCTTTCTCATCCCATAAGGGAATATTTCAATTCAGAGGAAATGGCTATTCATCTCCAAAATGAATTTAATTCTGGAAGTTTATGACTGATAGGTAAACAATTTACACACCCTAATCCAGATGTCCTCACAGTCCGACTGCAGAAGAGCTAAGGTGTGATAGCCAGGTACTGTTTCCAAATCAAATCTTAAAACTTACTTTGAGTCTAGGTCTCATCACTTTGTAACCCAGGCTACCCTAAGCTCACTATGTAAGCTATTTTGGCCTGGAATTTGGGGTAATTCTCTCACCTCAGTCTCTTCGGTGTTAGAATTGCAAGCATCAGCCACCACGTCCAACTAAAACTCAAACTTTTTGTGTCAAAATGGCCACATTCTTCTACTGTCCCGTTGTGATAGTTAATTTGAAACTTACTGAATAAACTTGTGTTTCAACTTTTTCTCTTCCCCTCGTCCCTTACTTCAGAGACCTGACACCACTGGAGTATTCTGAAGAGGAGACCTCAGTGGAAATTTCCCCTCTAGACCATGTAGATACACTTGAGAAATAAGAAAACAGGGAGAAACAAGTTTTAGGTCTGTGGCACACTGTATCTTCAGACAGTTTGGAGTATTGAAAATCTAGAGGATTCTAAATCAGGAATTGATTATGTAGAATTCCAGGAAGAAGGGCCTACCAGATGGTTCAATGGGCAAAGGGGCTTGCTATCTAGACTGAGGACCTGAGTTCAATAAATAAATAAATAAATAAATAAATAAATAAATAAATAAAATACTTTTTTAAACTAAAAAATAAATCCTTATAATGTTGAAGTGGAGCGCACATCATGCTTAACATTGAGCACAGTGACTTAGAGACATCATGTACCAGCTTTGCCACTAAGACCTCCAACTCATGATTGCTGCAGTCAAAACTGAAACTAGGGCTGACAAGAGGACTCAGCTGGTAAATCACTTGACACCAAGCCTGGTAACTTGAGTTTGATCCTTGGACCCACATGGTGGAAGGAGAGACCCAACTTCTGCATGTTGTCCTCTGACCTTCACAACACACACACACACACACACACACACACACACACAATTAATTAATTAAATGTTAAAAATTAATTTAACTCAAATTAGGTGAATTTTGGCTTTGAATAGTCAACTTATAATAGTCATGGGAGTCAAATAATATATGTTAGTCCAAGTAATGTCTACATTGAGACAGTGAGCTGAGGCTCCGTGCTACTTAATGGGATGTGAAAACTAGATAGTCTTTACTAAGGACTGTACAGACATGAAGGTGTGCATCAAACCTCAGATACAAACTGAAGTGTTAAAAACATCATTTCACACCAGGCTATATGAAGAGGTAGCTGTGAGAATTCTCATGACATAATTGTTTTTTCAATACTGTACTTCATGCATGTGTTAAAAGAACTCTGTGCTTGGTGGTGATGAGTGTGTTCTCCCTTGTATATGGACTTTTTGTATTTCATTTGGTATTGAATTAAGTCAGTCAATTAATTAACGAAAAGCATAACATGTAGGCAGATGGAGAAAGTGCTTCCAAGACAAAACTTAAAGATCCTATAATGGTGGTATGCTCGACATTTCTGTGGGACAGCAAGAAAGTTATTGTTGAGGAGAGCACTGATGGGGAATGGTAGGGGAGGTGGCCACGACCCAGGTCATGAGCAAGTCCTTCTTAGCTATAGAAAGGTTATTGGATTTTATGGCATTTAAAAAAATTATCGAATTTTTGCTAATTTCACACAATATATTTTGATCATATTCAGACTCCCTTTCCATCTGCATCCCTCTTATAGACCCCCAACCAGATTTCATGTATCCAGCCATATATGTTAAGGCCTACTAAGTTCAGTTTGTATCCCCAAATGTCCTTTGGTCCATCCACTGGAACCTTGTTAACATATCTAGGGTCACTCCCTTAAAGAAAATCAACCCTTCCTCTCCCAGTAGTTATCACCTGCCAGGAGTTCCTCAGCTAAGTTTGGGGTTTCTTTCCCATTTGCAACTTCTATGCTGGGTTTTTGCCTGGTTTGAGCTTGCATGATACTTATGCATGCTATTACCATTGCTCTGAGTTCATATGAGTAACTACACAGCTGTCTAGAAAACCCTGTTTCCTTGTGGTCATCCACCACCTCTGGCTCCTACAGTCTTTCCATCCCCTCTTCCACAATGGTCCTTCAGTCTTTGGTGGCAGAGGTTTGATATAGGTGTCCTGTGTAGGTATAAGCACTCTGCAGTCTCTTATTCTCTGCACTTGGGCCAGTTAGGGCTTTTTGGATTAATCACCATCTATGACGTGAGGAAGTTTTGATGGTGAGAGTTGAGAGATGCATTAATAGTCTTTCCGCCACCTGTTCTGCTATGTTCCCTGAGCCATAGGTATAGAGGTTGTAGATGTGTCACTTAGGGCTGGGTACCTCACAGACACTTATTCTCTGCATTTGACCTTGAGACTATTGAGGAACTTGTAATAGTCTCTGTTTCAAAAACAAGCTTCTTTGATGAGTGATGATAGGTACACTTGTCAGGCTGGTCTGGAGTGCTCCAGCCACAGGAACAGGAGCAGGAAGGAGCCTAGGCCCAAGGCAGACTGGTGGGGACAAAGTGGGTTTTTTTTTTTGGTCTTTTTGGGACAGAGTCTTCTGTAGCCCCAGCTGGTCTGGAACACACTATTTTTATAGCATCTTTGATGGAAGCATTTGATGAACTAAATATCTCACCAAAATGATATGACTTACTTATGAAATATCATCCCAATTGCAATGTAGGAAAGATATTGGAAACAAAAGATACTTTAGGACCAACACATGCCTGTCTGCATTTCAGATGGAAAAATGCACCTGCTGACCCACCTCTTCTCTGGAGCATAACTTCCAACCCACCTGAACTGAGGCTTTATTCTGCAAACAGAATGCCTTTGCTCTAGGAGTGAAGTAATATTCATTATAATATTTTGGGCACCAAGGTTATTAACCAGAGTGTTATTTTGATCTATTTTGACCCTCTCACTTGAGTCACCATATACAGACACATTCCACATTTGTTCTGTGTTGAGCTTAATGACTTATCTAGAAAAGATCAATACCACGGCAAGGCGTTTTAGAGTAATCACATTCCAAATCTGAAGCCACAGAAAGACCTGAACAGAATAACCTATGGGATAAGGGAATACAGAGTCAGATGCTCCGAGGTGAAACAAAGGAAGTCTGACAGTAAAGTGTGACAAGAAAATCAGCAGGAGATGATGAAACAGATAACTGAAGATAAACAGTTTTAGAACATAGCAGGGAAGTTCCAGACCACAAACTTTCTGTTTCCTGCACCAAAGCAACGCGACTAAATGTTACTTGAAAGAACTTGTCCCTAAGGAAGAAATAGTTGTCATGCTTCCAAAATCCATAACGTTCTAAATAAATCTTTTCCAGGTCAGAGTGAGAGGCATGGGGATATATATTTTTAAATTCTTATTCAGCAATAGGTCTTCTGGTCACCAATAGCACCTGGTACACCGCGGTTGTTCAATAAATACCAGAAGCTAAATAGATGAAGAGGTGGATGTACAGGGTTCTGGGGAAATGCTACTCTTGCCTCCAATTTATTCCAGCATCAAAGCTAAGGAGCTCAAACTTGTAACTCTTCGCCTAGATCATGCTATTTCCTATTATCTGCACTCTTTAAAAATTTAGGGACGGATATCTCAGATTCTGGGAAAATCCCATTTATCTCTTCATGTTGTGATAAAGCACATTTCAGACAGCAGGGAAAACCCACAGCTCGCCACAACAACACACAGTGAAGTATCTGGGCCACTGGAGCATAAATTAAAGAGAACCGGGTTGAACAAGCAGGAGGTAAAAGGAAAGGGGAGGAGAAGGGGGAGGAAATGACCTAACGGACTATAAAGGCTGAGATGCCTCTGAAACCTAGACACTGAAGGAAGCATCACCAGCAGAGGCTCACTGTGGACTGACGTGACTGGGGATTCACCAGGGAATCTTGAGAAACAAGATGAATTCTGAAGATTGTTCCATAACAGAGAATAGTTCTTCACATCTGGAGGAAGGGCAAAAAAGTAAGTCATGTAATTTCTTACATTCTATATTATCTCTAGAGGAAAGAATGGACGCTACCTTTGGAGAACTTGGTTAGATTCTATTTCAGTCAGTACAGTCAGTATACAAGAAAAAATGGCAGAGGTAAATACCCCTGGCTTTGAGGAGACAGAGAGTGTGGGATGATAGGATGTTATATGGACCAAATTCAGAAAACCTTTAAAGATCTTTTCTTTTGCATTAATTTATATCATCTTAACTTTTAGATTTAAGTGGACAATTCTCTGCCTTAGCCCAGTTACCCTCGTCATTTCCCCACATTCACCTATGCATAATCCAGGAAGTGCTGTCCTTCTTTAAGAACAACTCTGTTTCCCATGTACACAGTTAGGCTCTGGAACGTCCTTGTACCTCTGCCTGCTTTCTGTGTGCCTATTCTATGGTCTCACGATGGTGTCCTCCAGTGGTTGGAAGGATATAGATTTCCAGTCTTGGAGAGATGGCTGGACAAGCAGCTGAATGCTGACAGCATCCACGGGTCATTTATTAGGTGAACACAGACGCACTTTAAAGTGTCAGTTTCTGCCTTGACCTTCTTTACTCTTTGTCTGTTTCCTCCTCTGCATCATGCTTGCGATGACTGGCTTCAGGTTCTATATGAATGACATATTTTTTTCCTTTCTTTTGTTTTTCATCAAAATAGAATCCCCTTATAAAATTTCCTCTTTTCTCTGTCTTTGTATGAACATGCTTCTTTTTGTTTCCTGTTATCAGAATTTTCCCATTGTGTTTTAATATTATTTCTATAAACTTCCCTTAATATCTTTATGTATCTCATTGCCCCTCATTGATGAGGGTTCCTCAAGCACTAGCACTTAAGGAACTTTAGTTATGTTTAAGAGTCACTCAGCTAAAAAAGCAATGCATTAGAAATAGCACAACCAAGACAGTTTCTGAAGAAAGAGCTTTCTAAGTGTATTTCTGTCAGATTGGTTTACTGTGAAAACAGAAAAAAGCCTTGTTACCTTTAAAAAGCCCATCTCTCATCTGAGAGCATAAAAAACAAATACAGATAGAGAGTATACAATGTAAATTTTTAGGCCTCTAAGTAACCAGGGAAACCACAACTTTATGCCCCACTTGAATTGCTGAAATGAAAAAAGAGAGTAACAATAAAGCTATTCAATAAATAGCTGAGCTGAAGGAAGGACCTAATATAGAAATTCCTGCCATGCCTGACGTCATCCCCACCTGCTCTTGAGAATTTAGTCTGTTCTCATTGCTGTAACTTTAGTTGTAGAGCAGTCTTTAGGTATCACCACTCTTGGGTGATTGAAAGGTGGTAAATAGGTGGATCTATTTTCAACCTCTCCATTAATGGACAGGACCTGAAAGTGTGCTGCTGTTAAGAGGAATGTTTTGTTACCTAGGTGATAAGTTCAACTGTGGTTAGCAATAACCCTCCCTGATGGAAACAAAGTGTCACGTGGGAGCTTGTCTCCACACTTTACTGGCCAGGTGGGTCCGTAGGCTGAGCTCACTGAGGTCTGGAGGTTGTTTGGATATATTACTGTTTGCTGAGGAGCCAGAGTTACTGTCCAATTTACTCCAAGGACTGACTCTTGTATGATAAGTGAAACTAGACTGATCTCTGAGCGTCCTACCTGATCGACCAAAGGTTGCTTCTGAAGAGAATCGCAGTGGATACAAAAAGGGTGGCTTTGAGAAGTGGAAGGAAACAGAAGTAGATCTATTTAAAAGATCTGTAAATAGATCTATGCTGGGAAAAGAACATTTAGAAGCAGCACAGGTTGCTAATACTGACTACCCACAGCCTCTTCTTCAGATTTAGCTTTAAAGAATTGTTTTAAGAAAAAAGAATAAGCAGATTTCAAGACATGTCCTACATAGACACCCTTTTAGTTGCAAAATGTTTTCAGATTTAGAGATTTTTCTTTTGAGACAGTCTCACCTTGCAGCCAAGGTAGGTCTCAAACTCACAGTCCTCCTGCATCAGCCTCCTGAGAGCTGAGATTATGAATGTGCATCAACACAAAAGGCTGCAGACTACTTTTCACTGTCAGTTAAACTATCATTCAAGCAGCTATTGCACATTTCAACTTCTGGGAACATAGTCATGATGAGGACCTCAAGAATGTGCAGGGACAGTTTTGTGGGAACATATCTTTTTAATCCTGAATGTTTGTCCTGCAAAACTAAGATCCAAAATCAGAGTCACAAAATCCTCTTCTCCCTCTATTTACTTATATGTTGGAGCAGACAGGCGTCTATGCATTGTAAAATCTTCCATTTAAGTGTTTATTAGTTAAAGGTATCTTCTATCTTTTATACAGAAAGGTCAATGAAAAAGATCTTTCAATATGTTTTCTAATATTGTTATGTTTCTTTTACCATTTTAACCCCTCTTAGAAAGCACTAACAGTTCACTGTTCTTTGTATTATTTGTGGTATAATTTATGTACAGGGGATAGACAAATCATAGTTATATAATACGGAAAGCTGTGCCAATGGTATAACCACAGTGTTATCAAAATTTGAGTATTCCCATCACCTCCGAGGTTCTGCAGGTCTCATTTCATTAAAATAACCATTTCCACACACACAAATGCAAACACTGGCCTCATATTTGTCACCAGCTTATTTTGTCTGCTTTTAATTGCCATATATATATTAAGGTCTTTTGTGGCTAGATTTTTTTTCACAACGTTATTTGATTTGTTCTTGTTGCTAGACTCATCTGTTTTAGAGGGTCTTTCTACCACTAAGAACTCTTTTGGTGTGAATTTTGTACCAAAATGCATTTGTTCATCCTCATGTTGATTGATATTTTCTAAGTTATTTCTAAGACTTGGTTTAAGAAGGAATCTAGAATATTCTTGTTTAAGACACTTTAATACATTTCTCTTGGAGCTATTTAAATGCTTCGTGTGTGTGTGTGTGCGCGCGTGTGCGTGCACGTGAGCACGCGCTTGTGTGTATGTAAAAGACTGGCTAGATCATATGATATATATATACCGTATACAAATATTTTTCAAAATATCTTTTAAATTCACTCCTAAGAATGCATTAAAAATTCTAATTGTTCCATAGCTGCATTAACATTACCAAAAAGGACAATCATATTTTTAAAATTTATTCCATTCTACTTTTAGATATTCATATCAATTCAATACTTTATTGCATTACCCACATTTAACCCAAGCAATCCTCTCTTTTAAACAGTAACTAGCTGCAAGAAGATTAAGGGACCTCACCAGGGTGCTATTTTTATGTCTTTTGTGGCAACAGAATGTTTAAGAAGTGTTATATTGTGATTAGAACAATAAACTAATAATAGAATTGAAAAAGTAATATAGTTGAAATTTTCATACCTATAAATATACCCATCGTACCTACTAAACCATGTATAAATTTAAAACATATATTGTGAATATCTCTTGTGATGTCAGTATTGTACCTGTCTTGTTTCATTTCTAGTCAATAAGAAATTTCACCAAATTTGTTAAAAATTTGGTGAAATTACCTGTCAACATTTCATATATGTAAGACAGCATATTACTGTTTTTCAACTTTAAATTCCTCAAAAAAATACAAAATGCTCCATATTGCAGCCAGAACTCATCACCGCTTCTCTCCCTTCTCAGACAGTGGAGCCAGCATGCATTTTGAGAAATACCATGAAGGATCCATTCAAGTTCCTATCCCTTGTGCTGTTCTCACCGTGGTCATCATCACCTCATTGATTATAGCTCTTGTGGCCTTAAACGGTAAGTCTCTACTTCATGAATTTTCTCACAGCCTCCTAGGAGCAAGCATTCACATACAGCTGAAATCAGCAGTAGTCTAGTCTAGTTAATCAGACCTTCTGATTAACTTAGGAGCATCTCCTATGCCATAAATGACCAATTTTCTAATCAAAATTAAATATGCTCCATGTTCCTTAAATGATTGCTCCAACAATTTAAAAAATATTAAAGGTGTCTGATTTCTGCATTATGTATGAGTACTCAAATTACATCTAGAAGAGAGGGAACTAATCTAAATTTTACATGAGTAAACATTTAACTAGAAAAAAATGGAGACCCTCCATTGTCATTGGTAAGAAAAACAATATCTAACCTATTGATTGATCAAAAGTGGACAGTCTATTTTATTTTCTATCTCAAACCCACAACTAGAAAGTTCTGGATTATTACAATGGCAGCTAGACATTCCTAGACCAAGCAGTGCACGCTGCTGAATATGTACTGTACCACCGTGTATGCCAAGATGCATCGATGTCTTTGACAAATAGAAAATACTAGAATTTGAGGAAACACCCCAAACCATCAGTGTAGTTTGAATTAGTTACCTGAAAAGTCCTCCCTCATCCTTCCATCTCCAAATCCAGCACCCAATGCTATACCTTTGAATGCCTGTATATCTGCATTTGGGTTCAAAATCTGACCTGATATATGTACTATATGCCATCCTTTCTAGTCCAAAGGCTATTTTCAGGATTATCCTACTTCCCTGCCACTGTCTGATATGCTGACCAAAAGGACACACCCTGTATTCACACTCATCCAATAGTGACTAGGGACATGGAGGACTGGTTAGGTGAGCATCAGCCCTCTTCTCATTCAAGGAAGCACAACCCCCCTAGACTAAGCTTGCTCACTGAGATTTGATTTCTTTTGATACTAAAGCAAGTCAACTTCTTGTTCACAGTGGGCCACTACAATTGTCCAGGCCTCTATGAGTCCTCAATGTCATCAGATGGCCGTGTTGCCTCCTGCTCAGATGAGTGGGTTAAATACCAGAAGAAATGCTACTTTTTTTCTTCCACAACACAGAGTTGGACCTTGGCCCAAGACTCCTGTTCCAAAGATGGTGCTACTCTTGCTGTTATTGATTCCTCAAAGGACCTGGTAAGACTCACAACTGACTTCATAAAATATTATTTTATTTTATTAATATTTTATTTATAAAGTTTTTACTTTATGCATATGAGTGTATTGCCTACATGTATATAAGTGCACCTGTGTCATGCAATGCCAGTGGCAGTCAGAAGAGGGCGTCGGATCCTCTGGAACTGCAGTTATTGATGGTTGTTAGCTACCATGTGTGTGCTGGAAACTGAACCAGGGTCCTCTGCAAGAGCAACCAGTGCTCTTAACCACTGAGCCATCTCTCCAGCCCCCAAATACTATTTTATTTAATACATCTGTGGCTTCCTTATATTCCTTTCTAAGTAAAAAACTACCTATTTCACATGCAGGAAAATTTAGTCATCAAGAGCTGTATCAACAGTTTAAAAATTCAAAATGAACATTCAGCTTAGTCTTGTAAATGTGATTTGATTGCCTAGTTTCATAGACCAGAAATTCAAATGAGCTCATACTGTACAGAGCTAGTAAGCGACCAGCTCGGTCAAGTTTGTAACATAACTTCTTTGTGCTTTAAGATGTTTCTCAAACGATATGCCGGTGGAGCGAAACACTGGATCGGGCTGAGAAATGAAGTTAACGAGACATGGAAATGGCCAAATGGCAGAACATTCAACAACTGGTAAGTCTCAAAAAAGCTCTTTGTCTCCCCACGTTGGCAATACAGAAAAATCATTTCCTTTTTCTTTCCTTTTTATTTTTTAACATTCCCCCTTTCCTTCTTTCAAAGTTTTATTGGCTACGAAGGCCCAACTTTTCATCACACCGCTCTAATAATTTCTCTTGTGGACTTACACCCCTTAGAATTCTTTAAAGACATCCTTTCTTCACTCAATAACTCCTTTTAGTCAGTTTTTGTGAGCAAACTCTGGTGTGTGTGATAGTTGATTTGGACACATTCCAAGAGTTCTCAAAATGATGAGTGATGAGATCATTGTTGGAAAAGAATTTCCTATTTCTCCCTCCCCGTTGCCATCCCCACAGAAATAAAGAACAATATTTTAATGCCTAATTAGAAGTTTTTATGAGTCTAAGGAAAATTTCTCCAGCAATAAAGACTGATTTTCTTGTCACTACCTGTAGTTAAATTACATTTAAAGTTTTGAAGGACATTGTGTAAGTTTGACATTGATCATTGCCATCTGAAATCTCAGAGTTGAGTAAATTTCTCTTTCTCTTAATAGTTTCAGTAATTACCAATACAATTTCAGGATTACAATTTGTATTTCTAGTAAAGGGACTTTTAATATGTAGCCTATGATCATATATCTACAGACAGGTTACAGGAGTCATAAGCCCACAAAACTGTGTTTCTTGAAGAATCTGTGAACTAAACGATGAACAAGCACCCGTCTGGTGGCCAGCTAGCTAAGAGCATCTTATCTTTTGCTTTATATTCTTTCTCCAAATACAATTCTTTTCAATGTTGTCCATTGCCTTTAAAAATTAGACTATGATTACTTGACTGGAGGACTGTGTTCCATGCTTCCTACTAAGGAAACAAACACACATTAAAATCAGAGTTCATTCTCACATAAATGGATGGAACTGAACTGAAAATAATTCTGAGCATCCTTATTTTTTGACAGGTTCAACATGACAGGGTCTGAGAAGTGTGCATTTTTGAACCTCACTGATGTCAGTAGTGCTGACTGTGAGAAGAACTTACACTGGATCTGCAGCAAATCCTCCAGATGACAAGGAAACATATTTATTCATAGACTTCTCTACAATGGAACCAAGACATGTGAATGGATGGTACTCTGTGGCCAAAAGCCTCACAAACAAACTGCATTATCCTGGAAATCTTCCAAACAGGACTGTGGGAGAAAAGTTGCAGGAAAGTCTACACTGGAGACTCTTTTTGTCATGAGCTGGAAATGTCACCAGTTGACTGACAACCATGTCAAAGAATGAGAAGAGAGATCACAGAGCTTCATAGATGCACTTTATATTTTAAATGCAGAATAATAAACTGACTAGGTTTAGAGTTCCTATTTATTGCTGAACAACTACCAACAATCAGTGCCCTTCATTCATTTGCACTATTTGAAGGAATTTTGGTAAAAATTGAATGTAAATAGAGAACATTTTGACTGGTAAATGAATTTCTTAGAAAGCACTTAACAAGTAGACCAATGCTTATGAAACTAAACTTTTCAACAGCTCCTCTATGTAGAGCTTATTGCCAAGTTATTTTGTGATTTTTTTCCACCCAAAGAATAAGGTTCAACTTTTTCTTAACTCCCTCAGTGTAGACAGGTCTTTCTCAATGGTACATATTTTTTTGTCTTTAAAGTTTTCTCTGTAGTGTTTTTCAAAGAAGAGGCAAAAGCAAATTGAATGCCCAATATTTGTAAAGCAGATTTAAAAGTAGAAAAAATTGTGCAATATGTGAGTTGGCATATCTCTGTCAGGACATATGCTATGTGCTCCACCCTGGGGTACCACGGTTCTCATCTCATAATGCATTCCTGTCTTTTCCAATCAGTATCGTTATGTGCAATACTTCATGCGAAGTATTTTCTATGTGCAATAAAATGTGTTTATGTGTTTGTATTTTAAAGCCAGTAGAAATTAAACTTTTAGGTATGTGAAAATAAAAGACTCAACACAATAGATCCCAAGACATGTTCATTAAAAACCCATCAAAAGGTATATCATTTTATATTACCAAACTCCTCAAATACACATCCTATAGATTGGTACAACGCTCGGTCCTCATCAGAGAAATTTCTTTTTACATTGATCAAAGATCAATACAGAGACTCACAACTGACCAAAGCGTAGAAAGTGTCCGCGGACTGCTCAGCCACAAATGGGATATTCGTATCACATGCTCCTCCTCCCGAAGGCTCAAAGAACATTGTGGAAAGGGGAAGAGGATGGCAAGAGTGAGAAGACAGGGAGGACTGGGGCAAAACAGCATCTTCCAGACTCTGGGGAACCACTGCACTCATGAACTCACAGCAACTGGGGTCACCTGCACAAGATCAAGCCAATCAACTTTCCAGCATGGGTGGGGGTTGGGCACATGAGTCCCCACCCTTAGCTGAGGAGCAATTGATAGATGGCTGACTGGAGGAGGAGAGTCAGTTTTCTTTACAGAAATGGTCCCTGGTAGTTGACCAACCTCCAATAGATGACCCCAGACACACGCATATGTATGTGAGCAGTATTCACTGGACTCGGTAGATTTTGTTTTGTTTTGTTTTGGTTTAGTTTGGTTTGGGTTGTTTTGTTTGTTTTTGTAGCACTGGTTAGCCTGGAACACATTGTGTAGACCAGGCTGAACTTGAAATTACAGAACTCTATCTGCCTCTGCCTCCTGAGTTCTGGGATTAAAGTCAAGCATCACCACGGCCAGCTGGACTCAATGGGTTACTTTAAAAAAAAAGAACCAAAATTGGCAAAAGTCATGGCAGGGACTGGAATCTGGGAAGTGTTGAAGCAGGTGACAGATAAATAGAATCGAAATGCATTGTATGCATGTATGAAATTCTCAATAATGTATGTAACTTATGTCATATTACAAAGCAGAAAACAGTACTATTTCTTAAAAAATCCTATATATAAGAAAACTTAACTTTATGAAACTTTTTATACATTTTGCACTATTTTCATGGACATTCACCCTAAAAAGGCATATCCATGTTTCTGCATTTAGCAGATGCTCTGTACCCTTTGGTCCACATATTCAATCTTCTTCGATTATGAAGTGCTGCATACATTATCGTTACTTACATGCACTAATTCACAAAGTGTGAGGAACTGCATAGTCTTCACGGGCTGTTTTGTCCAGGAAAAGCTTTGCTCACTCTCAAAATTGTTTTATGAATAAACGTTGCATTATCATCCTTCTGTGAGGATTGAGAATGGATGATATCTTCGGTGTCTTTGAACTGCTGTCACTCCCGTAACATAAAGAAAAGAAAACACAGGTTTAAAATGATTCTTAGTGAAAAGTAAGTCAGTTCCACAGCTGCCAAATGAAGTGGATGACCTCCTAACTTTAATATTCTATAATTAATAGCCTCAGTATGCCCGAGTTATGTTGGAGCAGTCTTGTGATTTGTGTGGCGTGAATGTGCAAATGGCTAGGTCGCTGTTAAGAGCTAGACTACGGGATCCAGCTGGCCTGGGTCTCATTCTTGCTGCCTAGCTAGGTATTTTATAATTCTTTAGAAATTGAGCTGAAACTAATTAGAAATTAAGTTAGTATGTGAAAACGACCTTAAAACAGCACTTAGTTCACAGTAAGCTCTGGTGGGATATTGAATATTAATAATTATTACACATGTAAACACCGTATTGATTGACTTGTATTTTATGAAGTACCATTTATTCATAGCTTGTCAGTTTTTCACTTAACTAGCACCTACTACTGTAATGGACACTACAGTCAAAATTCTCAACAAATTTGACATGGTAACTTGTAGATTTAGTATCTACTTGTGAAACAAACAATAGAGAATTATGGTGCAGTGAAGACTGTAACAGGTAAAATGGGAACCTTTTTGAAATACAGACCTGTATTTTCTACCATAGCCAATCTTTTGGCTAATTTTATACTGAATCTGTAAGCTATGCCCACCTCAGACAACTAAAGTAAAACGTGCTGCAAATAGTCATCAATTTTCCATGTCTTATTTTTATTTTCCCAGCATAACTTTAGTTTCCTCATCCCCAAAGAGAAATATGCTACCTGTTTCACATAATTATAGGGATACAAATGAATTATTCTTTTTTTAAAATTACTTATTTAATAACCACATACTTAGAAGAAGCATTTCATTACAACAGCATTGACATACTCAATAACAATTTTTTGAGCTAAGATGCATCTCTTTCAAAATTGGCTGTAAATTTTTAGGTTTACAATCAAAGTATTACAGTTATACAATATTGTACTCAGTATAAATCCTACATGACATAAAATTAAATGAGATTTTTACCTTTAAAAAAGATCTCCATTTCATTATTAAAATACAGTTTCATAACAGCATTGACATACTCAATAACAATTTTTTGAGCTAAGATGCATCTCTTTCAAAATTGGCTGTAAATTTTTAGGTTTACAATCAAAGTATTACAGTTATACAATATTGTACTCAGTATAAATCCTACATGACATAAAATTAAATGAGATTTTTACCTTTAAAAAAGATCTCCATTTCATTATTAAAATACAGTTTCATACAGAAAAATTCATTATTCATTT